CTTGGGGGCCTCCCAGCAGTCAGTAAGAGAGACTGGAAGACATTACATTTCTGTGACCTACCTTTACTGGAAAGAAGTTCAGATTGCCTATGGATAATAGAGCCAAGGTGACTTGGTGTACATACAGAGCTCTGAGATGCAGATAAACTTTGGCCTGCACCTTCATGTGGCGGCTTTTTGCAAGGATTTTTCTAGCCAAGTGTGGGGGAACTTTAAAGAGGCTGTACTCGAGAGATAGCTACAGGATGGGATAACCTCAGGTGTTTGGGATAGGTGCTGTGGTTGGTGGGCCTCAAGGCTATCCCTTGCCCTCTGGAATAGTGCTGAGATGTAAACAGGAACAGTGCTCTGAATCCGGAGAGGCCCAGTCCTCAAAACCCACTCTTCAGGAACCTAAAGCCACAGTTCACGGCAGCTGTAGAGTAAAAGACCATGGATAGCAAAGCCCCATTTGCTTCCCCATCCCAGACCCCAGAATACCTTCATTTTCCTCCAGCTTCCGGATGTGTCGCAGGACAGGCTGCAAATTCATGTAGAGGCGGTGGCTGTTGCTCAGGAGTTGCAGGAGGTGTCTGGAGCGCATGGGACACCCTGTGTAGTATATGAGCTTCCTGGCTGAGGGCAAACCATCTGGCAAAATCTCAAATTTCTTACCCTATGGAGGGAAAGCATAAATCAGATTCAAGAAGAAAAGTCTCTGATTTGCCAAGGTTCCCTTCATTTTTTTTTTTTTAGTAAGGAAAACTACAGATTCAGAAATAGATACATGTGCAGCAGGTCCTTGAAAAACATCATTTCATCATAATGTTGATGAGATGTTGTAGGAACTTAACTCTTGTTTCTATCTATTAGCTTGTGGTAAAACTGGTTTCATTATACGTCATTTTGCTTAAAGCCACTGAACCCATTCTGACATTAAGTGAGGACTTACTGTATAAAGCTCCATTCAAAGTTTATTGAGAGATAAATTACTGTTTTCCCTTTCAAAAATGTCACGGGATGGAGGAATCCAGGAAAAATCCAGGGAAGTGTCTAGCCAGTATCTTCTGGTAAACACTAACTGGGTATGACAGCTGAAGAATATCTTTGGTTTCTCTGGCTAGTCAGGCCACTTATATAATGGAGAAGAGAAGGGCCCATCATGAAAGCACTCTCAAATGCAATCCCAACACCCTTACTCAGCAAACAAATTCTAGAAGTGTAATGCATTCAAATATTTGTTAAACACTTGCGATGTACTAAACATTGCACTAGGCACTGAGAAAATGACAGTGAACGGGACAGACAAGGTCCCCACCTTCATGGAGATACATCCTGGTGGGAGAGATGGCAAATAAACACATAATTATAGTTTATGGTAAATTCTGGGGATAAAATAAACAGACTTATGATAGTGAACAACATAAGATACTTATTTAGGGTTTCGAAAAAATATAAAACCCCTCTAGCTGGCTAAAAGAGAGAGCTAGAATCTAGAGGGACATTTGGACGGATGAGACAGAAAAGAGAAAGAATTGTTATAAGTCGTATAAGTATCTATCAGTAGAGATATAAGGAATCTCATTAAGTCTGGGATTATTAACATAAAGTTCAAAGTTGGTGAGAGCTTAGTAAAGTTCCTTAGTTATGGAATACTATAAATTCCTTTAACTTTGCTAATAATGAATAGGGCAGCAAGACTACAAAAAGGAATAAGTGACACAATGATTCTCAGCCAAAGGGAAGAGATAAAGCAAAGAGGGAGGCATATTCTAATTGTACATTTAAAGTCGCCACAATGCAATATGGGTTTGTGTAACTCAAATAGGGATGGAATTTTTCACCTCTGAACTTTTCAGTTTAAAGAAACCACCAATGGATGCCAATGCTATAATGGTAATAATTGACACTTAATGAGCACCGAGCACATATTAACTCATTAATCCTCACAATAAGTCACCTTGAGCAAGTTATTTAACCTCTCTGTGCCTTGGTTTCTTCATTTCAAAATGAGCAAGTCATTTCAAAATGAGCAAGTTATTTAACCTCTCTGTGCCTTGGTTTCTTCATTTTGAAATGAAGAAACTTGCTCAAGGTCACACAGCTAGGCAGAGCTGGGAGGAACTGGCTGTGAGAAGAATCATCTGGGAAATTTGTCGAAGCAGATTCTTGGTCTCCAAACCACATCCACTGAACTAGAAATCTCTAGGAGAGAAGGATGAGGTCCCAACATCTGTTATCTTAAACATGCTCCTCAGGTAAATCTAATGTACAGCTGGATTCAGGAACCACTGAGCACAGGACCCTTAAAACACTCAATTTCAAAATGTATTTTATTACTACTTCATTTGGGACATGAAAGGACAGGTGGGGTAAAATTTGCTCATTTTCAAACAGCTCAGATCCTTTGACAAGGAGCTGGATGAGAGAGAGACAGTGAGGAGGAGTCAGGTCAGGCTCCACTTAATTTATGAGTAAAGTGAAATCGGATTGAATTGTGCCCAAGTAATTAATGTAGTCTGAAACAGGTCTTTTGACTAACAGGGCAGTGTGGAGTCAGTACCCAAATGCTGTTTGGCAATACAGCCCTTTATTTATATAGGCCATCTTCCTTATGGGAGAGAAGCCCATGTGTACAAATCCTTATCTTCCTCCTTCCTTTGTGTATTTATTTCAATAATTTCTGAAGGAAAAAAATTATGGTCTTTAATGGCCACTAGATATGTACATTATCAACTATAATTTTTTGAACCCTACCAAAAAATGGATGTAACTGGCAAAGTAGAGAAACAGCTAGAAGAATCATGAATTTGCTCTAACAACAAAAACAAAGTGTACCATTCTTAATATTCTAAAAATAAAATAATTTTTCCTGTTAAGAATTGTAGACTTTTCTGTATAATGATGAGTTTCAAAGAGTCAGATATTAATAGAAACATCTTTTTATATCACTCTTTATTCTTCGTTCAAAAGAAGTAACTTCTAAAAGAGCTGGGCAACCCCCACACTAAGAGTAATTTACCCTGTGATTACAGTTTTCTGTTTTGTAATCCCTCTGCTGTGGGCTTTTAAAAGTAATTCTATTTAATGAACTCTTCTTTTACTTTTCTTGCATTTTCTCTGCAACTAGAATAATTTAGGGTAGTATGGTGAGGACCAGACACAAAATTAAATTAGTAATTTCTTTTACTAATATTCTTTAATTTTAGGTTCACTACTGATGAGTGACAAGGATTATAGCACATGCATAAGAATATAAGAAAGCTAATTATCTTTACTGTCAACTTTTTAAAAATATCAACTTTTCTGCTAGGGACAATATTGTTTTAAAAAACGAGAAACAACAAAAATCCAAAAACCAAACAATTGAGGTGTTTTGTTGTTGTTTTTTTTTTCAGTTACTTTAAACTTACCACAAACACCAACTTTCCAACATTTGTCCAGGGAAAATCATAAAGTAATTGTTTCTCTTCATCTAAATTCTGTGGAAAGAATTATATATAATGCATATAGAGTTACTGATAAAACTGACAGACACTCTAAAATGGCTCTAATTTCTCTCCTGGAAAACTAAAATACATTAATTAAAATCTGAAAGAGGTCCTCAACTCTCTTGGGAGAGTGGCAGACAGTAATTAGGATTAGTGATACAATTTGTAGCTTTTGGTTCTTGAGTGACTGCATTAACTGGCCCTCTTTCAAGGCAATCTTTTCTCTTTTGTCTTATCCTTAAATTTATATAAAAAGTCCAAAAGATTCAGGCATTCAAGGGATAAGGCACTCAGACTTTCATAATTGCATATTTTGTCTACATCAAAGATAAGACACCCTATATTCTCTTAGGTCTCATAGAAAGAGGCATTTTCTCTCCCCTACTGATGGGTGTAGGATAACATCATCCCACCTACTTACTCGAGGGACAAACTTGATCAGAAAAATGTAACGGAAATTAAAATGCCTGGTCAGGCACTGTATTAACATGTTATTTTTCTATAGACAGTTATTAACGTTCCAGAGGATAAAAGAGAATATTTAAAATCAATGACACACCAAGAAAAATGTTTGAATATTAACGATCTGTTGGTGATGAACGTGGACCAATCTTTGGCTTGTTGTTTTCTGCTTTAGAGGACGCATTACTATCAAGGTTTAGACTGTATCACTTCATCTATCCTATATCATCCACATCTGTGTTAGACAAGCAGGAAGTAATGACCAATCCACTGTCAAAAATTGACCAGTGAACCTATCGCAGGACCACACAGGCACATTGTCAATGTAAGACATAGTGGATACTATCTGACACTTATTTTTCATTTACTAACCTGAAAAATCTGTATCCCCCGCATGGTCAATCCAAGAGTCAGAGAAGCTTCAATTTCTCTTTTATCCTGTAGGAATAAAATTGGATGAAAAAATATATTTTTCTTCTACAATGGACAATTTAGCACCAAAGAAAAGAAAGAGAAAGACATTTCAGGATTGGAAAGTTTCTGGTTTAAAATAACTCTGCTCATCTTACACATCTCTAATTTTCTACGAGCTTTAAGAAACTCAAGAGCACATAGTGAATCAATAATGGTATATTATACTTTTGAAATCCCTGAGATTTCAAAAGTATTAGTGTTTTCACCATATTAAATTCATTTTCATATCTGTTGATATTCTAAATACTTATGTTCCTGAGAACTCTAGTAAACAAGAATATTTTTGCTTTCACATGATTTTTACCTTCTGTCTTATGTTTAACCTTTTCTTAGGTGTTAGCATCTTGAATCTAATGTCGTAGCTACACTGTGAGATGCACTAGGACTTTCTTTACATGTTTCAAACCAGGTAAGTCTCTTAGCTTTGAAGCTAAAATTAGAGGTAAGCCTAAATATTTAAGGGTCTCTCAAGAAAATAGATAATAAAACCGTAAAAATTGTATTTTCAGTTAGTTTGGGAAAAAATTACTTATTTTTAAGAAGTTCAATTATTACTTGCCAAGATGATAGACCTTCTACCAGCTAAACTATAAACTGTAAAAAATAAAGTACAACTACACAAGGAAAAAATTCTACAATTAATAATGTACTCAGAAATTTGGCCACACCTTTTAAGTGCTCATCTGTAATAAGTGGATATAAAATATGAAGTTTAAAAAAGAAGATAAATAACATTACTAAGTGACTAAATTATTTTCATTATGAGATTTCTCAATAAAAACAATAAATGAATATGTACAGATCTTTATTACATTTAGTCCGTTTTCTCATCAACACAGTGAGAAATATTTTTCAAAACTGCATCCTCGCACAGAAAAGATAGAGCCTATTTTCACTATTTGGGCTTTTTCTTTTCTTTTTCTTTTTATACCAACTAATATATTTTTATGGCGAGGAAGCCACATATAGTATAGGTTTAAAAGGAGAAACCAATCCATCGCTATGAGTTTAGGCCAATTTCTCTTTCAAGGCTGTTCTGATTATTTCCTGAAATAAAATTGTGCTCATAAAAATGATGGTTGTGCATGTATGAGGTGTGTAGTACTGGAAAAGGGACACAGATTTTTTTCCCATTCAGAATGTTTCCTGTCCTCTGTCTACTTTACTTACATTTTATAAGCAGGCCTTAAATGAAGCGGTTTTAATGGCTGCCACCTGATTTCTTCAAAGAATAAAAACTCAGCCCATAAGGTAACAATACCTATTCCTTACTTCATTTAGTTACATTTTTATTATTAATTATCTTGTTTAAAGAAGACAAGAGTCATTTTCTATACCATATAGAAGTATTACAATTTAAGAAAATTTTAAAGATTAATTTTTACACTAAAAATAAATGGGGATATCTACTTCAGTAAAGGATTCTCTAAAATACTGATCTTCCCTATCAAATAAGAATAAAAAAAAAAAAAGAAGTAATTAATATTTATTAAACACCCACTAATGTGCCAGGCCCTCTATCTGATTATTTCAGATTCATTATCTCACAGAATCTTCCCAGCTTTGTGAAATGAATAGACGCATTCCCACTTAATAGATGGCCCAGGATTATAGTTATATTTGCCTAGGATCCCAGTATTACTGAGTGGTGATATAGGGTTTCTAACTGATATCTGATTCCAAAGCCACACTCTTCAATACATCAGTACTTCTAATACGTTTTTAAATTATAAACTGATTTTCAAATGTAATTTATTTGCATTTTGTCATATAAATTGAAGTGTCACAAATAAAATCTCTTAAGGGAAAAAAAATAACTCAGTCCTTTAGAAACTTAGATAAAGAGATTATAGGGAACTCAATTACACCTTTCAAAGATGACAAGGCATTAACAATGTGTCTCTTGGGCATGGAAGAGAGAAAAAAAAACCATCCTTTGGTTCCTTACCAAGTTTTCTGAACCAGCCAGGAAGATCACCAAGCAATATATCCAAACTACAGTCCAGTCTCCAATGGTCTACTTATGCTAATTTTACCACAAAGGCTTACAGGCATGCCAACAAGCATAACAGTAACAATGATAATGGTAATAGTATAATGATAATGGTAACAGCATAATAATAATAGTAACAGTTTAATGTCATGCTTAACATGTGCTGGGCACTCTCTTTGAAGCACTTTTCATCCATTATCTTTTAAATCTTCAGTAAATCTCAGAGACAGGGATGTTACCATCCCCATTTAACTGTGGGGAAACTCAAGCACAGAGGTTAAGTAACCTGCCTAAGATCACACAGTTAAGAGGTGAAGCTGGGATTCAATCCCAGAAGTCAGGCTCAATAGAAAACACTCTGAACCACTTTAGCCCATTTGGTTTGAGAATATACCCTTGAATATGTAAGTGGGAATTCAGGAGTTCTTGCCAAGGAAGTGACACTTGTGAAATAGGGAGAGGAGTAGGGAGGAGGTGGGAAGAGAAGACAGAGATGATAAACAGCAGTGTGTGACTGATTCCTTTAGAGCCTGGCCCCAGTTGTTATTTGGGTGTGTAACCTGTGACCTCTGGAAAAATGACAATAGTATACAGAGGACACAAAAGAGAGTAACAAACTTCAGAGAGTGAGGGAAACACAGAGTTCAGTGGTGAAAGCACACAGCTTGTTTTCAAGTAGACCTGGGTTGAATCCTGGCTCTGTCACTTACTAGTTTTGTGGTCTCTAGTCTGTTCCCACAACTGTAAAATGAAGATTACGGTTCCTATTTTACAGGGTTGTGAGGGTTTAAAAAAAAAAAAAAAATGTGCCCCATAAACACAGTATTCAATAAACACTAGCAGTTGTAATGACGTTCTTGTTATTAATTGATACAATGCAGGTATGGCTTCACTTTGAGGAATACTAAAAATTACTGACCAAACAAGTTGCCAATGTTACTCCCTAGGCAGAAATGCAGATTTGGGAAGAAGAAAAATAACGATTTCTTATCAAGGAAAAGCCAGATTCACAGTTTGCAGCCACTTGTTATCTCAATATTAGAACCATTAAAAAAGACTCCATCCTGCTTCTAGGCCCAAGGACTCCAAGACTGAATTATGATGAGAAACAGCAAGTCACATGAAACTTCTTTAAAAGCCCATTAAAAAGTGAAATGAGAACTTTAAATAAAAGTTCCTTCTGCTCAAGAAGGTGCAATTTTCTCAGAAGCTGCAGACTCACTGTGGTTCTGTACCTTATACAGTCTGTAGTAATGAACCGCAACGTCATCCAGTCGGACGGCCTCTTTGATATATTTAAGATAAGCCTCGGAAGCGGTCAGTGCAAACTGATCTTTGTGCATGTTTGGAATGTGCTTCAGGATGTAGTCCTTCCCTCTCTTGGAAACAACCTGTTGGAACACAATGGGTGTGCAATGCAACATTTGTTGGAGGGATGTTAAGTACTACCCTCGACCCCCAAATGACGGAAAGGACAGGACCTAAAACAGGCTCTGTAAACTGGCTAATTCGTATTAGAAAATTCCCACTTTTATTTTGTTTTCACCATCAGTTATAATACGAGGCTGAACCTGCTAATAAGAGAAGCGGCAATGTCAATTCAGCTGTAGTACTGCATATCCAAAAGATCACAAAAAATGGGAAAAATATGTCCTCTTGTCTTGAAACCCACCAAGAAAAAAAAAACATGCAAACTTGCAAAATTTTGTGCACATCATTGTTTATCCTTGCAATCGGTACCATGAAATACATCTCCTCTCAGCATATCTTCAGGTTCTGGATCCTACTTAATTCTTCTAAAATTATAGCCACAGAGTAGGAGTTTCCACAAGTTAATCCAAAGATGGCAGGGGACTGCGAGGAATTCTCTGAAACATGTTTGGTTTTTGCACAGAAGGCTGATATGAACACTCTGAAGACTTATGAGAAAAACAATTTCTTTCATATACTCATTGCAATTCATTGTTGCTTATATTTTCATCAGATAGTAGCCTGAGCTTTTAGATGTCAAAAATATACAGTATCCAGCAGCTACAGGCTCAGAGAAAGGTGTTGATTAAAGGTCCTAGCTGATTTCATAGGATTATAAAATGTGAAAAGAATTATGCAAGTGAACAAAAAGGAGAATTTAAAATCGGAATAAAAAAAATTACAGAATTTTTAGTTTTAATGTTTAATGTTTTTATAGATATCGACATATTGTTTCTTCCTAATGAATCGAACATGACAAACTACTGGCCAATTATCAAGTTTTGCTGAGAAGTCAAATTACAAGCTTTTCAGATGCCTTTTACAATCTTAAATCAGTACTTGTCAACTTTTTCAGGCCAAAGAACATATAGAGAATTCTCATAAGGACACTGTAGTAGTGATTTTGGTGATCCCAAGAGTTGAGGCCACGGTTATCCGGGCACTCTGGATTCCATCGTGCACTGACTGGGAAGCTCTGGTTTAAATGACCCAGGTTCAGTGAGTACTTGAAGACAACTAGGGAATGTAAATACAGGCTAATGTTGGTCCAACAGACATCGATATGTAAAAGCCTGACACCTTTTGTGGTTTCTCTTCAACAACAGAAGCACCATCAATCAGTCAGTAATAACATATATTGAGCACCTCAGTGTGAAGTGCTGAAGAAAGAGAAAATTGAGTCTTAGAGGATGAATAGGTGTTAGCCAGGAAAAACAGGGAGAAGGATATAAGAACTGGAGGAGAAAGGCTAGTAGGGCTAACTGCCACTGGAGGTGTGGAACACAGGAACTACTGGATGTTGCTACGGCATAAAATTCAAAATGGAGGACAATCAGAAAGGAAGCTGGAAATGCTAACTGCCACTGGAGGTGTGGAACACAGGAACTGCTGGATGTTCAAAATGGAGGACAATCAGAAAGGAAGCTGGAAAGGGTGGCAGGGGCCATATCCTGGAAAGCTCCTCAGTCATACTCTGGGGCCTAGGCAAGTGACAGGGGAGCCCCTGAAGGTTTAAATCAAGCAAAATCAACTCATCTATAATCTATAGAGTAAAGACTGAAGCAGCCACAGTGATGCCTCCACAGTGATGTTGTCAAGTACCGATGAGAGCTGGAACCTGGGAGATGGAAGGAACAAACATGGGGAGGGGACACAACAGACACTTAGAAACTTAACAACAAACACACAAGAGAATCTTATTTCTTAAGCTGGGTGATGGGTAATCAAGTATAAGTTAGAGGATGTTCTCTGGTTGATTGGATGTGGCAGGGAGGAAGAAGGGTAGTAAGGGGAAGTTCTGTATAACTCCAGTTTCTGGACGGCCAGATGGATGGCGGTGCCAATAGCTGAGATTAGGAACACAGAAGTAGGAATATACAGAATTGAGATGGGAAGAAGAATAACTTAACTTGGCACATTCTGAGTTTGAGATGCCTATGCGTAAAACAGTTATCTCATGGACACAGGGGAGAGAAACAGATTTGGAAGTTGCCAGCACACAGGTGGCTTTACTAAGAAGGGAAGGTGAGAGAAGCAGCTCTTCTTTCCCTTCCTCCTTTCTTTCCTGTGAATGGGGCGGTGCAAACCAAACACGTGTGTGTTCTGAGTGAAGAAGAGTTAGTTTGAATAGGTTAAGATACAGAAAAGAAGTTAACCGCAGAGACCTGGAGGAAGGATGGCAACAGACATGGACGGGGTGGAGCAGAGAAAGGACAGCTGAGATAGTTCCTGCTGGAACGGGGCTGGCTCCTCTCCTGGGAATGAAGGAAATAGCAGTCAGAGCAAGGAGTTTACTTAGGCGGAAGGTCCTGGACTTAAAATGGTTAGATTTAGGACTTATGATGGTTAGATTTAGGACTTTTTCAACTTCACTATGATGCAAAGCAATATGCATTCAGTAGAAACAGTACTTTGAAATTTTGATTTTTTTCCTCAGTATCATGTGGAATGATACTCTCTGGTGATGCTGGGCAGCAGCAGTGTGATGCGTCAGTTATGCAATCATGAGGGTACCAACAGGTATTCTACAGTGTACTGTGTTGCCAGCGTTGTTTTACTTCAATGCTTCAAACATTCTTCAGGCCGTGTGCAGGCTTTCAGCTATGTTCATTAACACTGGGTACCCATACAACCATTTTTTTTTACTTTCAGTATAGTATTCAATAAATTACATGAGATATTCCACACTTTATTATGAAATAAGCTTTGTGTTAGATGTATTTGCCCAAGTGTAGGCTAATTTAAGTGTTCTGAGCACATTTAAGGTAGACTAGCCTAAGCTATGATGTTAGGTTAGACGTATTAAACACATTTTGACTTACAATATTTCAACCTACAACGGGTTTATTGGGAAGTAACCTCATCATAAATTGAGGAGCACCTGTATTTGTTTTCTCAGCAGAGGAAAAGCTGTGAATTATCGTACCTTTTAAAGAGTAGTGTGTTTCCCTCTTCAAAGAGGGAAAATGCTGTTCATATTAAGAGTAAATAAGATCGAGGCCATATAAATGCTAAGAGAAGGCTGGCAAATTTCAAGTTCCTCCATATTTAGGATGGAAAGTAATCCTCTTCCACATCAGCTATAAAGTACATCAAGAGATCATGTGTACCATACTCTCGAGTTAAATTTATTTTGGGGCATCACGAAGGGTTTCACTGGCCACAAAACATCCGGGTTCCCATTTCTTGAAGCAACATGAGTAGCAGCGCAACGAACTAGAAATGTGCTAGAGTAAACATCTTAAAATTTGAAAACAGTGCCTACCCAAGATGGGAAGTAAGCCTCAGGCTCAAAGTATTTTCCATAGTGCTTATTCCTTTTGAAGTTCCCAAGATCAGCCTGGAGGGCAAAGGCTGCCAGCAGGAAATAGGCCTCCTCTCGGAGCACACACTGAGAATGAAGAACTTGTTTTCTCAGGTGCCAGTAATAATAGTATCTTGCTGCTCTGTCACTAGGAAAATAAAAGAAAACAGAACTCACATTCTGATGGAACAATCCAATGGCATGTAAACAGAACTCAAATCCTGCTATCCATCTGGTGACAAGAGCTCTTCTGTTTCGGCTCCCTCCTCCTCCCACCCTCCCCACTCTCTGAAAAGGGGGAGGTTATAGTGAATACGCAGACGGCAAAAATAACATTTTGTAAGGCCTGTAACATTTGATTCATTCAGAGAATGGAAAAAAAGTCTAAATCACTACGGTCTAATATGCTACATATTTCATTGAACAAGTATTAAAATAGAAGCCTAGGTATTTGTTGTCTGTATTAAAATAATTGTTAACGATAATGCTACCCATATATCATAAATAAGGACAAATCTGAGGGGATCATCCTGGCTTTAATGTTTTGCTATTGTTTTTTTGTCTTGTTTTCAGCTGAGCACATTACTAGTACTCTAAGGCCCTTTTAAAAATGTTTCTATTTATATGACCGTTTAGAAAAAAATTTAACTATAAATGATGTTTTCCCCCTCTCAGAACAAATGAACTGAAAAATGTTTTCCTTAAATCGTTTTTTATTAAGTGAATATTACTTTATGGGTGTGTTTTTATGGGCATATGTTAAGACAATCATGATATTCCTCAAAAATGGAAATGCTAATAGTGCACAGATTACAGTCCACTGAGGTCAGAAATAAATACAGTCCCCATTAAATATGCCGAGTAAGAAGTGCTAACTGGGGAAAAAATATGGTTAAGCTCCAAAAGATGTCATAGGCACATAGGACGCCTTTGTGATCAAAGTAAAAATGCAGGAAAAAAAAAAAAAACCCAACAAAAAACTGTGTGTGCGTATGCATTTAATGAGCTTATTATTATTAAAATTATTAAAATTATTCCCAATTATTTTAGGTTGAATGTTTACCTGAGATTCATAGATTAGTTGATAAAAATAAAAACATATGGGTTTATTTTAACCAAGATTGTGTTTAAGCACGAAGAGTTTAAAAATAAAGCATTTATGTAATTTTTTTCCCCTTGAGACAGAGTACTTCTTTTTATAATGCTGACCACATAGTGTTTGGACTAGTTCCTCTCTGGGGAAAAGGGCAGAAGTATAGGGATAAATTAAACATTCATTAGCCCCAAGGGGTTAATTAGTGGCTAAATAATATATCTTCCTCTTTCCAGATTATTCCATACTTAGTAGGTAAATTGAGTAAAAATTTTTCATAAACTTGGAATAACTAAAAAGTTTCTCAGCCTTTTTTACTTTTTAAATTTTAATGTGGCAATGATATAGATACCAAGAGAGAAATCTCACATATAACTCATTAGCTAAATGTATCTTTGTCTCTTTCATATGGAGTTTCTCAAAATTTAAAAATAAATTAGTAAAACAGTTCACATTTCCAGTAGATTCTATCAGCCAACAAAATCACTTCTGAAAGTTTCCAGCACTGAATCCTCCTAAGCAAATGATAAACTGACCCTGAGTTTGTATCATGAGCACAGTATTGTTCATCTAGAAAAAGAATCAATTACCTGCCGTTGCCAAACTTCATCTAAGATTCTCACAGGGTAATTCCACTGGGTGTAATCTTAGCTTTAAAGCTACTGCCAAGGCAGAAGCAAGACCCCAAAGTGAAAAGAAAACCAGGCTATATAAACACCCATGCATTTTTACAGGAGAGGCTTCTTGCTGCTGCCCCATTCCCCATCCCACCACCAGAAAATAATATAATCTTTTAATCGGTCTCTCCACTCTTCACAAAGTGCCAGTTTCCTCTTGAATGAAATATCTTTTTAGTGACTGAATTGTTACTGAAAATGTGGAGTATAGAAAATGTGAGCCAGTGATATTATTATTAACATTTTCATCAACAGTCTAACATGATCATTCATTCATTCATCCAACAAATATTTACTGAGTGCATACTGTACCTCTGGTGCAGAAACTGAAGATACAACATGAGTGTGCAAAAAGATCTAAAAATCAAAAATCCTGCTCTTACAGAATTTATAGTCTAGCAGGGAGAGACAAACAATAAATATGAGTATTTTATTTGGTTAGAAGTATTTGATACGGTTTATTTATGTTAGAAGATGAGTGCTGTTGGGAATAAAGGTTTAGAATCTCTCCCTGTCCTCATACCTGATCAATCTGCCATTTTCTACGTAATACTGCACACGGAAGTGGATGATCATAGGAGGTCCAAACTGGTCAATACCCTGAAACAAAGACACAAAAAATCAAGCTATTTTTAGTTACTTCAAAAATAGATTTCAAAAGTAACAAAATACCATTATCGACAAGACACTTTTTAAACACTGAAAGGTTTTCTCTACTTCTAATGAGTGGGGCCTTACAGTGGGTAGACAATTGTCTCATATGGATACCAGGTTCATGCAAAACCAGGAAGTTATCATCCCTGTAGCTGATACTCATTCACTGTAATGTCAATGACAACATAAGGGAAGATAAAAATAAATGCCAGTGGAAACTTCTAGCTGAGATCCAGCTCCTCCCTCAGCTCTGTCCCCTGTGGTGACCATTTGAACCTCATTACAAACGTTCTTATTCCTCTGACATTCCACATGCCAAATTCTAATATGCTGTTTGTTTATTTAGACATCCATGTTCCTTACCTTGTAGTTGGCTTTGAAGTAGCCTTCTAGTTTATTACAAGAATTCTTAAATACAAATCAAAGGAACTAGGATTAAACACTGAGGATTTATTCCTGATTTTCTACGGTGATCCTAAAATCACCAGGTAAATTCCCTGTGAATGCTGCCTCATGTAAACAGAATTGATGTTTACTAAATAAAAGCACCAGTACAATAAAGTGACAAAAATCAAATGTAAGGAGAGTAAAAGTAGATTCAAAAATTGTTAATAATATTTAGATCAGTTTTGACAACAGCCCCAGAAGAGGAACACATACTTTTGCCAAGCTTTACATTTCAAAACATCTCAAGATTACTAAAAAGTGATTATCCAACATTACTTAAACAGATATCCAAAATCTATTATTTCCTATGAAATATTAATACTTCATCAATGTGACATTTTAGGACTTATATAATTCATTTCCCTTTCCCATTCTCTACTATATAAAATATTAAGATATTTTTCTAATGTAAAATAGTTAAAATAAACCTTTTGAAAAATCAAAATAATTTTGCTCATAAATGTAACCTCACCCAAGTGACTTCGTATTGTCGTACCTTGCTGGCTTCTTTCTTCCATTCTTTTGGACAATACTTATAAAGCTTTTGTGACAATTCCATATACACATGTTCATTATCTGCACATTATAAAAAAGGAGACAAGGTTAGATTTTTTTTAAAGAAAAGAATACATAAAGAAACAGGTTTTTAAAAGCCTCAAGATTTGTGAATGTACTCTAAATGCACATACTACCAAGAACACCCAACATGATATTAAATGATAATAAGTTCTGTGGGCTAGACATTAAGGAGATTCTTTATGAATTATTTTGCTTTTGCAATACAGAAAACATACTATTAAAAATATTTAATATTTAGAAAAAGCATTAGTTTCAACTCCTGCTTTTACTTAGTTTGTAGGATCATTTTAGCTTATAGTGTAACTTCTAACATGGGACAGTACTTGGTCTTACAAAAACGTGCTTTTGTTTTGCTCACTGAAGATTCTTCTCATAGGTGTATAGTAATGAAACAGCACAGAAACATCATCTTAACTGCTGTATAAGAAATGAGAGAACATCAACGATGATGGCACATTTCCCAGGGGAGGAGCCTGACCCATTCTTTGTGAAGAATAGTCCCCAAGACTATTCCTTCCGTGAGTTCTCCATGTAAAACACAGTATGACAAAATGATAAACCATTACTCACACTGCCTTTGGGATTGATTTTGTGGGAAGAGGAGAAGAATCTTATGCAAAACAAGAATGAATGCCAAAATAGTTCTTCAAGGAAATGATGTTCTTAAGATGAATAGAAAATAAGACTGCTAAAAACCCATGTTAAAATGATCTAAACATGTGAAAACAAGCTAGTAAAAAATATAAAAATTTCATACTTCCCAAAGAGAATCTTTTAAAAGATTTATTTCACAAGAAAAGCCTTTGGCATTCTTATTTTTTACAAAGTTTTAAATCTTTTTTTTTTTTTTTTTTTAAAAAAAAAAAGCGTATCCCTTCTTCTCTAACCCTCATTAAGGGGCAGGCTCATAGAACACTCTGCATAAAAATGTGTTAAATGTGTCTCTTTGACTACTCCAAGGACAACATACTTGCCCACACTGTCACTCCTGAATGAATGCTGGAGTTTGACTGGAAACACGCCATAAGAGAACAGGAAGGGTAAAACTACACTTTTTCTATAAATGGCAATATTAAGTCAACAAATTTGAATAAAATGGATAAGAAAAAGGTCCCAGAGACAGAAGTGTTTTTTAAATCCACCTATCGAATCAATTAACATATCTCCCATCTCTCATATGTTACTGATTAAACATGAAATAGGCAAGACTAGACAACTTTCCCATTGAATCTGATTTGTGTTTGGCCTGAGTTCCCATGTGAAGAAGCAACATAGTGAACAGAACTGAGACTATTCACCATAACAGCTCCTATGTAGGTTTAAACTACCACTATGTCTCTACCATCTGACCATTTGACCATGACTTTATACTTGAATTCTCAAGCACACATCAATCCTACAAAGCAGGTGTACAGTAATTCCCATTTGACATGTGAGAAAGTTGAAACTGAAAAAAAGTCAAGTGATATGTCTAAAGTCACACAACTAGCTAGTGGTGGAACTGGAATTGGAACCAGGTCACCTGATTCTTGTTCCAAGGTTCTTTCGCCATATTACAAACTCTCTTTAAAAAAAAAAATCTTAAAAACTCTTATTTTGAAACATAAGGAAGCTGTAAACTGGTTGTATTAGACTGACTTGTTGGACAATGAATCAATAGTCTGGCTGTAGCTGTACTAAGAAGAATGAACTTTGAGTGTAGAATAAAAGTAGTTATTCAGAATCTACAGGGCATCTTATTTCTTCTAGACCCTTTCTTGAAAGAGTGACTGAGGTATGCACTAATACAAGGATGGAGCTGAGCATTTGTGTTTTTATTGCTTTAACTACCACAGGAAGAAAATGAAGAACAAATGGTTGATTCATAGGTTTCTGATGTTCCTCCCTGCTTCATGCTCTCTGGTCTCACCGAAAAAGACAACTGAAAACAGTTCACATTTTGGAGGAGAAGGGCCTTGTTTATCAGTTGATCATGATACATTTTCAACCTGAAAGATCTAAGCATTTTATCGTACTAATCAGATTCTCAAGATATCATAAACCTTTAGATTTAAACCAATTTCAGCAGTAGAAAATAATAATTCATATCCAATATAAAAACATTTCACAAAAAGTATCCTTGAAAAACTGAGCAAAGATATGAAAGGTTTTTGGCATCTAAAAGATTAGAGAAATTTTAAAATATGATTTAAAAAAAGAAAGCTTATAAGGAATGGCTACTGGTAAATCCTGGGAACTTAACTCTAAGATGTTATGGGAAGAGAAAGCTTATATGAAGCCTTTTACTTAAAAATATTCTCTACATAAATTAAAGTACGCAGAAGGAACTGATACTATGTCTCAAAATCATACATTCTGACTGGAAAAGAAGAGAAGGTCACAGTAAAGAGGGAAAAACAGCAAATAAGAGTAAATTATAGATCACTTTGTTATACAGTCAATAGCAAATGAATTTGAATAGAGGAAAGTCAGTTTTATTGTGTCTAAATTTCTTTTAATGTCAAAAATTATATTACAAATTAAATTAAGGAAACATCCAAGCTAATGTCCTACTAGTTCCAGCTGCTCCCTCTGTGCAAGGAAACAAAAATCAAGCTTGGTTCATTAAAACAAAAGAGCAAACACATAAAATTCAAACTCCTAAAGAGGAAACAATTTTTAAGTTTGAACTATATTAAATACATGATCTAAAGTTCTAAATTTTATAAGATATACACAAGAGTTAATTTAAAAAAAATGAATACTAGACTAAAAATGACCAGTTTATGAGTATTTTCATAATCACAATTTTATAATGTATGCCTAATTTAAGTTACAGTTATAAAACATTATTTCCTTAGGGATAGTTGATTAAATCCATCAGAGATAAGAATAAGACTTACTCTGTATAACACTGAGTCCAAAGAGGTGACAGTCCTTTAGCCTGAGTAAGTCACATACCTGGACCAGCAACTGGTGACACAGAATTTTAACCTGTAAGGAAAAAAAAAAAAAAACATAACTTGAAATAATAATTCAACCAAGTCACCAAGTCTACATAATATGCCACGATTAGGCAATTTAATGCATCCTAAATATATTCCTTGAAAGGACAAGCTGACACAACAAAATAACTGTTGGTTTATGGAAATCATTTACATTAATCTGTGACCGTGTTTCAATAATAATTATTGGAATACAAATTTTTACAACGTGGCAATAAAGTACCAATGCAGTCTTGTACAAGACTCATAAATCTTATGATACACGGACAAGGCCTCGGTCTAAACCTATAGTGCATGATAAAATTTTCAGAAGGAATCCAAAATAGCCTAGTCACATTATCAAAAGTAGTAACTACCACGTATATTTACAAGGAAAATTTTCCTCTTGATGGTCTTAGCAAAATACTATATACTATACAATGAATTAATTCCTAGATTTTATTTATCTTAAATAATCACCTTATTGTCTTAACTTTTAGGTACCTAAACCAGGTTCCTTTTCTGAATTCTAGTATAATTCAAACATCATAAAACCATATTAATCTGGAACTCTGGGGATAAATTATTCTGAAAAGTCACATGCTGAATGATAAAAGTCTTTAAAAGATATAGTTTTAAAACTTCTCAAATGTTTAATGAAGTGTTTTGAGGGATATTAGCTCTGCTGAGTTAGTCTTGTTGAATTCAGAATCGCTAAAGCTTACTAGAGTTGAGATTGACTTTAAGAAACCATACAGGTCAATTTCTTCATTTTATAGAAGTAGAAAATAAACCCAGAAAGCTTAAAGTCATATAGTTAGTAGTGGCAAAGGCAACAACTCAAAACTTTGCTCAATTGTGTATTATAACATTTTATGTGTATATTAAAATATGTGCAACATGACAGTTTGTCATTTTAGCTATCTATTTTATATGTAGGATTTCTCCTCTCATTTGTACTATCACTTACAAATTCTGTCTTCAATGATAGTGATGCCAATCACAGTTTTAAATATTATGAATTCTAAAGTAGTTAACTCTGAATTAATGACCTTTTATCATACCTTAATATGTAACTCAGATTCAGAAAATAAAAACATGCTGAGATAACTGAAAGCCAAACAATTCAGAATTGTGATAATGACAAACGGAGTAAGAGAAACAGGTTGACTACTCTTTTCCACGCTAACTACTAAATGGCAACTAATCTAAAGCACCGTATCTACTAGAAAGTGTAAAAGGTGTTTATGAAAGGCCAGAGCAGCACAAATTCAGCTGTTTAGAAACACCAGGAACTCATTGAAGCTGAGACAGTGTCTTATTTTATATTCAAGATATATATGCACTCAGTAAATGTTTGATGAAGGAGAGCCAAGAGTCTGATTTCCCTGTGGGCTCCTTACCTTCATTCTGTTCCATGACTACAGACTCCGATTCACTGAGCAGTAAGCATCATTTTATAAAAGTACCATTCAAGAACTTAGGGAAAATGTATTAATGCAAACCCACCAATACTACTGAGAGAATATATTTGCCAGTAGGAAATCGTTATCATCTTCATTCATTAAAAAGACTTTGGATTTTGAATTTTATACTACCATAATTCCACTTTACAAATAAGTTGAAATAAATAGAATGATAAAGGAAAAAGTCACTTGTTATATAAAAATGAACTGTATACTACAAATTTGTGACAAAATATCATAGTCTAGGGCATCTTAAATCCTTAGTTTTGACTATATTTTAAAATGTAATATACAAAGCACTCAGGATAAAATGTGATTAAAAGTTAATGGAAAAATTCTAAAACACAAACTGCATATAAACTATGTTGTATTGTGTAACTGGTGTTCAACTAACACCGTACATTTCCTCCATACATCACACATAATTATTGCTATTCTGTGAGATTAAATCAAGTATTTGAAGCCTACTGATAAAGCTCTTTAAAAACTATCAAGTAAGCACAGCCTTCTTATTTAAAAACTACAATTAAATAAGGCTATGGCTCTGAAGTCTTACCTGCTGTGAAAACAAGCTTGAGATTTTTGTATTGGCATATTATGAGTCTTTAAGGTTACATGTTAGCTGATTGTGAAATTTTTCAAGTTCTTTAAGCTTCAGGAGCAATGAAAACTTTAAAAAAGTGCTATAGAGTATGAGGTATTAAGAATAAGAATTAAAGCATTATCTAAAAATATACTCTATATGGAACTTTTTAATAATACAGCTTTTGATTTTAAATGTCAATGATTTGTTATTGGTCAAGAATGTTTAAAATATGTTCCAGAAAAAAAGAACTGTTCACTCTAGTCTTAGTGAAGTCTTAGCTCTTGGCCACAATTTATATCACTCAAAAATTTGGTGGCTCTCACGTTTACCAATGATTTTATTTCCCAAATTTTCCAAGTTTTCATATTTAATATTTATCTGACGATTAAAATAATTCAAAACAGCCCATATTAGTTCGACTCATAGAAAATTTTGAATGACCAAAGCACAAAATTTACCCCTCATGCAGAAAGACAACATTCTATCAACTACATTTGTCAGAGAACAAACTTTCTTTGTTTTAAAAAAAAAAACAAAACAAAAACTCTTTAGAAATGATTAAAAAATAAATCAGACCATTAATGAAATAGTTTTTGCTACAGTTGATTTGTTATACCGCAAATCTACAAATATCAACTGCTAGTTTCTGAATACAAAAATAACACTTTGTAGAAAAAGACAGGCCTTTGGCAACCTTAAACTGGTTTCCTAGCAGTGAGGGGCCACCATACTCCTTAACTGAGTCTCTCCCTCCTTTGGTTCAACAGCCTGGGCATGGCAGAGAAGTCTACATGACCTGGAATAAGAATAGGCCTATCTGGGGTTAGGACTCTCCATTTTCATTAGTAGAGTTTCATTAATAGAGTACCCTAAAGAAACGAGCAAACAGCTCAAAGAAATTAAAAGAAGTGCTACTCTATGAAGCTAATTTACTGAGCAATTCTCAGGTTCTAGGCACTGCAATAAGCACTTCCTGCATGTTGTATCTTTAAATCCTCACAATGTCCCTGCGAGGAGAGTAAGATTATCTCCATTTTATAGATGAGGAAACTGAGGCAAAACAAACAAACAAACAAACAAACAAACAAACAAAAAACCCTAACTTGTCCAAGGTTGCAGAGTAAGTCACGGAGTAGAGATTTCTACCTAGGTCTCTCCTTAATCATGAGGATATATGGCTCATAGTCCTGACAATCCTGAAGGAATTATACTAATTATGCAAAAGAAGGAATTGAATAAGTATAAAATTAATCCTTGAGTAAGGAATTAAAATAATAATAGCAGCTACTATCTATGTGTCAGGAATTATGCTATATGCTAACCCTTAATTCTCACAATCACCCTGTACCATAGGTACGATTCCCATTTTATAAGCGAAGATGAAGCTGAGGGAGGTTTAATACACTTTCCAAAAGTCATTCAGACGTGGGATTTAAATTCAGATCTGTGTGTTTTAAATACATTAATGTCTTATCACTACAATATGGCCCCTCAATTATTATTCATAAAGGGAAGACAGAAAGGGAGCTAATATAAATCAAATGCCTACTATGTGCTAGGTACTAAGCAAGTTGGTTTTACAAGTGAGTAAGGCGAGTCAGCTTAAGTAACTTGTCTAAAGATCACAAAACTAGTAAAGTGTAGAGTCAAAATATGAATAATCATAACATTTCTGAACAAAGATAACTATATTATTACTACTAACAACCACCAACATTTATTTTCATTTACTATATGTCATGTACTTTTCTAAGGTCTAGGCAACTGATGCAAAGTCAAAAATGCAATCTAGTAAACAGAGTTATGTAGAGTCAAAGAAACTAAATGATGCTGGATAAAGGTCTTTGCCTGGGGAGCTTAAGATTATAAACTATCTATAGCACCTCTTTAGGGGATCTTGTTAAATGCAGATTCTTGTGTCCTACCCTAGACTTATTATAGCAGCATCTCCAAGGAGTACAGTGGTCTGAATATTTAACATCTCCAAATAATGCTGATGTACATTAAAGTTTTAAAAAGCACTGATCTACAAGAATGAATTGGGTATCTTTCGATCTGTTCTCCATCATTATCTTCCTCACCTGAGATTTTAGTATAAATAAATTTCCTAGAAAATTAGTCAATTTTTAGCTTTCCTCATGAAGTTAGATTAGTCTTCCTTCCACTTACCTGTGATGAGCAAGGTTTTTTATTCCATATCCTGTATGAATGCACACACACACGTATACATATTCTGCCAGGTGAAAAGGCAGAAATGGAACTGAGAGAAGTTTCTTAAGTGCATATGCTACATGACTGATTATGTACATTTTTTAAATTCAGTGGATATCGTTTTCTATAACTATATAAGAGAACTCAAATAGCACATTCACATATATAAGTAAATTACATTTTAATATATTTTGCCAGTGCCCACAATGAAATAGAGGGATATGTTGCCAATTTTTATTAGGTTTTAAAAACCAAATGCTGCAAAAATAAGTCTATCATTTCACATAGTAAAAACAACTCAGCTAGCCTGAATAGGAATGTAGCTAACAAATTCTGCCCAATGGATGACAAAGTTCATTCAAGGTTTGATTCTCAGATAACCCCTATGAGCAAAAACAAGGTTACATTAGTAAGTCAAGAAACTGTGGTGACTGTCAGAATAAAGCCAAAAATAATTATGGTAATAAGCAGAACCTTTTCATAGCTAAATTTTTTAATGGGGCTATTCATGTCATATATATTAAATATAACATTTAAAAATATTATCTTATATAGCAATTGGGTTAAAAATACAGTAGCATATAGCTAGGAAAACTTATTCAAGACATGCATTAAGCCAATTTTTTCCTTAATTCCATCAGAATACAACCAGTAAAAGAAGGAATATGAAAGTTGATAATATGGAGAGAAGTTGAAAAATGATAGGCATGATATTGATTGTCATAAAATTGTTTGGCAGTCTCCATCAAAGCCAAACATATCTATACCTTAGGATCCACAATTCTACTCTTGGGTATAAGCCCAGAAATATATACATGTGCATACACATAAAATATTCATAACATTTCTATTCATAATAGCCCCAAACTTAAAATAACCCAACGTCCATCAACAATAGTTGGACAAAGAAATTGAGCATATTGTTATACGATGAAAGATGATACAACAATGAAAAAGAAAGAATTATGGTAACATGTAACAGAATGGATGAATTTCACAGGCCAAATGTTGAGTGAAAGAAGCCATATGCAAAAGAGAACACACCACATAATTTCAGCAGCATGAAGTTCAGAAACAAACAAAATTACTCAATGGCGATAGAGGTAGAATAGTTGTTACTCTTTGGGTAGAGATTATTGACTAGGAAGACTCATAAAAGAGCTTGTAGGGGGCCTGGAAATGTACTATATCTCCAGCCGGATGATGGTTACATGGATGTACACACTTGCAAAAATTCACTGAGCTGCACACTGAAGATTCCTATACTTTGCTGCATATAAATTATAACCCAATTTTAAAAGTTGAAAAAAAAAAGTCATATTCCTCAATGTCCAGGTGAACTAAGAGGGTTAACTCTTATTCATGAACCATCAGTGATACCTTAGTGCTCAAATGCACAGCCTATGCTTGAAACTGACTAGATTTAGGCTACTATTAAAACAAAGATCAAGACGCATACTAAAAAGCTAGCAATTATTACGATTTCATGTATGTAGGTACAACTCAAGAGTATTTAAAAAGCAAATTCATATTATATATCAATAAAATTATATTTTAATAAAAAGTTTAAAAATAGCCAAGTGTTTGTTTTTCTATAATATAGTAACCAATATTCTCTAACTTTACCCTGGGTGAGAGAATGTGGAAGGCTGTTGCACTTAAGCCATAATTCAAAGTTTAACTTGTGCAGAATACTTTAACATCTCAATCCACCACCTTGGTAAAGGTCTTATTCTGTAATGACTTCATGCTTAACCAAGCCATAACTTGAATGTGGTCACTGGTGGGAACACAGATATTTAAACATTCCTTAAGTGGGATCTACTCACATTTATGATGATGTTCAGAGATTCATCATTGGGAAGGAAAATACACACACTCCGACGATCTTGCATGACTCTGTTGTTATGGAAATTCAATTTGTTCATTGTGTGTGGGCGCGCTCGTGGTCAGGGCTGGGCTCCGAGTCCTCGGCAGTATCTCTGGTTCCGAGCACTCCAAAGCCGAACTCTATTCCTCATCACACATCTTACAGAAGCATCGCGATGTTCCACTATGTAGGTTTCATAGCTGTAAAAAAGCCCAACAGCAGACCATGAACAAAGGTGGTGAGACTGGTGAGGGCCGACAGAGAGATGAGCACCAGCACAACTGCTGATGTTGGCACAGGGACAGCATGTCTCGAAGCCAGGGCTGCCTAACTGAGTCAATGAGAACGCCCTGAAATTTATTCCCTACTTTGCCTACTATCAAGTGTACGAACACTTTCATTGACAGGCGTGAGTTAAACGTAAAGCCAGACAGTGCCTCACACATTCAAGGCAGTACCACGCACTGCAGGGCTCACAGAGGCAAGGCCTGCCTCTGAGGAGTTTCTAGTCTCACATGGGACATAATGAAGGGTTCTGAAAATCCACAAAATGACAAAATAGCAACAACAACAAAATTCTCAAACTCTTTTTTTCTTCCATTACAAACTCAAATAGATGTTCTGGCTCTTACATTACATTCCTTCTCCAACCACTTTGGTCTGGCTTCCACATCCTTCACGTCACCAACGTGGCCCTGACAAAGGAAGCCAGTGATCTCCAGACCATCAGTAGTATCCACAGGATTCACTTTAATTGATGTCTCTATGACATTCACCATGGTTGTTAAGCCCTCCTTACAACATTTTTCTCCCTTAGTTTTTATGGCCCTGCCTCTCTCCTGATTCTCTAACCTGCGAGTGCAAATATTTTTTCTATTTGTTATTTCACCAATCAATAAAATACACAGCAATAGCAAGACTGTATATATCAAACAATGTTTATATCCAAATGACTGTGGATTTTTGGATACCTCTGATATCTAATCAGTTTATTAAACATATTAATTTTATTTTTTAACTTCTCTCGGGTTTTTAATGTATACAATTTTGTTTGCAAGTAGTAAAAATTTATCTCCAGTTTTTAATAATTTTACCTTTTATTTCTGTTTCATGTCTCATTGAAGGATAATTTTAAAACAGTGGTGAATACTTCCTAATTTTAATGAGTGTGTCTAGTTGTTTCATATATTATTGCTAATACAACACAATTTGACCAAGATATATTAAGACTAGTTGCCTCTCAAAACACTAGTAATTGTTCATATTGCTCCTTTCCAGCTGTATTTGTAGGATACAAAAAGAGAATTTCCAGGAATATGGAATTGTTATACCAGGCAGAGAGTACAGCCATATAGTTTTAACAGAAAAGCCATTGTCAGTGTTCACATAAATCAAAGTATAAATGAGATAGGATCTTAGCCTATTTGCTTCTTAAGGTTAAATGTCTATCTATTAGCAGGAGGCTGGGAGAGAATATATTCTTAGATGGCACCATGAGTAAATATAAACCAGTACTTCTTTCCAAAGTATAAATAAAATACCATCCACAAGAGAGCTACTCAAGCTAACTAAAAACAAATGGTAATCTTATATGTGGTATTTCTTTCTTAGAAAGGTGACCAAAAGCTCCCTTAGGAGTACTCTGCTTTTCTTAAAGGATAACGGCAATTGTTTCACATTAGCTTGTAGACAGCATATCATCTTATAGGGTTAATGGAGGTCAAAGCTGCAATTCTCTCTAGTATGGGATGGTTAACCCATGTGTTCTATAACCACAAACTAACTGCATCCCAAAGCCAATCACCCACTTAAAACATGCACACTTTTAGTTCAACAGTTCCAAAGCACCAATTGTAGGACCAGTGTTGGCTGCATCAGACTCTCCTGAACGTTTGCCATAAATGCCAAATCCTGAACACAGTGACATTTCTACTGAATAATAACCAGGGTTAGGGCCCAGGAATCTTAACCTTTTAAAAAAGCTCAGGTATTTCTGACATTCAATCATGTTTGGAAATCACACTTTAATGAACAGAAGGAAGGTGGTGAGCACAGGGTTGGATATAATACCTTCATAGTATACAGTGGGAAAACATCTTGAAGGCATAGAATTGGGGATAAGCAACATATATGAATGATATCACATCTTCACTATAACTGGGAAAAATAAATCCTCAACATTTTCAAAGGTATAAGTTCCTAAAACAGGTCATGTATGTATACTTATTGTCCTGGCGGGGAGGGGGGGGGGAATGTTACTAGGTGATCTAGGCATAAATAAGTTGAGGAAGCAGGGTATCCTATATATGCCCTCTCTTAAAAATTCAGAAAATAATAAAGACTCTGAGAAATCCTGTGGACAACTTCTTAAATTTGTTCAACTTAATATTTCTCAAACTTATTTGGACAGAAAATACTGCCCGCCCCCCGACCCCCGACATATCTATTATATTTTGTGGCAAAATTTCTCCTATGTATTGATATATTCCAACACTCAGGCCTTCTCTCTGCTATTAAAATCTTTCAAGAAGAAATTATAAACTATGCTTAAATGCATCTTATTTAAATTCAGACCCTTAAATGATATTAATCCCAGTATAATTCATCTTATTTAAATCTATACGTCAAATTGAGTTACTCCTATAATTTTCCATTTCTAATTATTCCAATTAAAGGGAGGTATTTCTACTGACCTACTTGCTAGAGTTTAAAAAATAAACTAGGGAAAAATATATGTTCTGAGGTTTGGGGTGTTTCCAAAGCTTCATTAATTTTAAAATTTCATTTGAATACAATTTTTATTTATTTTATGGTTCAAATAATGCAATAAAAAAAGACTAGGGAAGATTACTGAAGAAAATTTAATAAAAGCAGAGTCTTTAAGGAGCAGTACTGCTTCACTGCTGCTTTTTCTGCTTTGAGGACAAACTAAAAAAGCCCTAAAAAGAGAGATAGGATTAAGTTTTTACTTTACTCAGGGCTGCTTTAAAGCTGATTAAAAGGTTCCACTGAAGAAGCAAAATAACCATATCTCTAATATGTTCCAGTATAAAATTTAATATTAAATTGGACAGTCCTAAAGGAAAGAATTAGACTAAACTGATACCAATCTGAATTGCAGAAATTAGCTCCTTATCTATTGGCTCCGTATTCTGTGTCCTAAATTAAGTTTCAATTCAGTCCCAGGAGGGCACGTTTCCAATGTTTTTTGGATAGATTATCTACAAAGAAGAAACCATGTCATAGTATCATATCTCTCAGGCAACAACAGCTTTAAGAGTGATTAAGCTCCACCCTGTCATATTTATTAATACTCAATTTACAAATAAAATATTAAGCTATAAGATTCCCACACTTGGATTTCAAGCCCACAATATTATAAGCCCCCTATATCTTGATCAGCACCATTGGTCGCAAAGTTACTTCATTTCTTTTAAGAATCAGGAAGCCACTATCTAGTGTGGACATTCAATACTGATTTCCATTTTTTAGAAATTATTAGAAATAACCTTTAAAACTAGGTCACCCTGGAATAAAAGCATGGATTTTAGTTCATTTTACTACAACAATATTGGTTCGTTAGTTGTGACAAATTTACTATAGTCATGTAAGAGTTAACAAGAGGGGAAAGTGAGTGAACCTGCAGAGTATATAGGAACTCTCTGCATTATCTTTGCAACTCCTGTATATCTAAACGTATTCTAAAATTTAAAGAAAACCTAGGTCACCAGAAATGTCCTACCCACAAATATAGTCTCACTTAGATTGGAGGCAAAGGGCGATTCTCAATTCTAAGATTGTCACTCTAAAAAAAGTGCAAAGGTGGTTATTTGATAATATTCCATAAGGCAAGCATGATGAGTAGGCATATTTCAACAGTCAATAAGGCATCTTTATTATATAACAAAAATGATGCAAGAAATTATCTTGGAAAACTGAATCGCAGAGCCCTATCTTCTAATTTAATCATTAAACATTTATCATGCTCAAGTTATATACACAGTACAGTAATATTTATTTGCTGAAAAGCAGAATACAATAGCAATAGATATGTCCCCAATACCCATGAGTTCACCACCTACTTAGGAACACACCACTGGCAAAAAGCTTAAGATGATATTGTCCCTGCTTCTCAAGAGCACATAGACTCTGATGGTCAACTCTCATGGGAAGACATAATTATGACAGCATTCATGTGGCTAAGATCAGTTTGAAATAAATAGTGTATAGTCTTTTAATGTATCGTATTCTAAAAGTGATATCAAGATGCCTTTAGTAAAAGAGTTGGGCTTTTTTGGTTATTCATTCACTTATTCATTCATTCAACATATTTACACTAAACACCTACTATGTGCCAAGTGTTGTAGGTGCTGAGTGTACAGTACTGAAAAAACAAATACCTTGTTCTAATGAAGACAGACAATAAATATATAATGTATATGTACTACAAAGAAAAATAAACTCAGAGTAGATGAGAGAGCTGATGGAGATAAGATGGTAGAGATATAGGGTAATCAGGGGAAGCATCTCTGATAAGTTGGTATTTGAGTTAATATCGGAATTAAAAGTTATGTCATTTCCTTCCTTCTTTCTTTCCATCTCTCTATATCCATCCATCCATCCATCCATCCATCCATCCATCCATCCATCCATCCATCCATCCATTCATCTATCCATCCCAGGGAAGACTTTTCTAAGTAGAGAGAATAGTAAATGATAAGGCTCATCTACTGTTCCAAAAAGTTAAAATACTACTAATTATAGCTAACATTTACTACATACTTACTATGTGCCAGATGCTCCTGTTAAGTACTCATTATATACACTCAAGTTATATACACAGTACTGTAATATTTATTTGCTGAAAAGAAGCAAAAAGAAGAAGAAGACCATAAACTCTTTGCCATGCTTCTCATTGAGAGGTGGGATCCAGTTCCCCTTCCCTTGAATCTGGGCTGGTTCCATGACTAATTCATACTCAGAAGTTCTGCTCATGGATCACTCATTTATGCAAATATTCTTTGTCTGTTATTTCAAAGCACAGTGTCTACACTAACAGTTGCTTGTAGTTGTTATTTTTCTTATCTATCTCCTCTTCTCAGATCTTCTTAGAGCAGGGTAATTAGCTCTATCTACCTATATATCTATCTAGATATAATTTTTTAAATCTTCAATGGAAGACACATAGTATAAGCTCATG